GCCAAACCAGTATTATATAAAATGCTGAAGGGTATTCTTTAAGAAGAGGAGGAAGAAGAAAAAGGTAAAGATAAAAATTATGAATAACAAAGAGACAACAAACACATATCTATCAACAAGTAAATCTAAAAATCGAGTGAATAAAAAAATCGGATGAACAGAGTAAACTGGTGAATATAATAGAATTAGGGGCATAGAAAGGGAGTGGACTGACAATTCTCAGGGGGAAGGGGGTGTGGGGGGTTCGGGAAGAGATTGGACAAAAATCAAACACCTATGGACGAGGACAATGGGGGGGGGGTAAGGGCATGGAGTGGGATGGGAACCGGGTGGAGGGGAGCTATGGGGAGAAAAAAGAGGAACAACTGTAATAATCTGAACAATAAAGACTTATTTAAAAAAAATGTGATACCCCATCACAATATCTTATTCCCATGATGTGCCATCAATACTCAAAATCAGGGCAGTCTGCCCTAACCGGTTTGGCTCAGTGGATAGAGCGTCGTACTGCGGCCTGAAGGGTCCCAGGTTCGATTCCGGTCAAGGGCGTGTACCTTGGTTGCGGCCACATCCCCAGTGGGGAGTGTGCAGGAGGCAGCTGATCGATGTTTCTCTCTCATCGATGTTTCTAACTATCCCTCTCCCTACCTCTCTGTAAAAAATCAATAAAATATATATTAAAAAAAAATCAGGGCAGCCTATCCCTCCTTAGTACTGGAGCCCGAGCCACTCAGTTTTTCTTCTGCAGTTAGCCTGTACGGCTTGGTCAGTTTCTAGGGCTATTTCACTGCTCCATCCATTCCTTCTCCTTTCTTGTTGGGACTCATACTCTTCTAACATTAGATACATTCACTACAGCATGACCCATCATGGGCCACCAACAATATATAGAGCAAAAGCTTCAATATGAAAATTAGCCATAAATCTTAGATCAAAATATGGATTAGGATAAGTAATAGATATGAGAAAAATTCTGGAAGTACAGTGGGACCTTGACTTATGAGTGTCCTGACTAACGAGTTTTTCGAGATACGAGCCGTCTCTCGGCCGATTTTTTGCTTTGAGTTGCGAGCTAAAATTGGGGTTACGAGCCAGCTTCAGATACCCCACGGTTAGTTGGCGCAGCGAACGTCACAGTGAACGCCACAACATCAGCCCAGAATCACGTGTCTCACTCGTTCACTTTTGATTTGACATACAAGTAATTTGAGTTACGAGCTCCGTCACGGAACGAATTAAACTCGTAAGTCAAGGCCCCACTGTATACAAAAAGACAATTGCACTTCAAAAGACAAAGTCTATTATATTGCTTTTATTATCTTTCTGAAAATGGGGCTCAAGTTATAGACTTAAAACCAAAATAGAGCCCTAGCTGGTTTGGCTCAGTGGATAGAGCATCGGCTTGTTGACTGAAGGGTCCTGGGTTCGATTCTGGTCAAGGGCACATGCCCGGGTTGTGGGCTCGATCCCCAGTGTGGGACGTGCAAGAGGCAGCCGATCCATGATTCTCGCTCATCATGGATGTTTCTATCTCTCTCTCCCTCTTCCTCTCTCTGCAATCAGTAAAAATATATTTTAAAAAAACAACAAAATAGACCTTGAGAATGTGCTAAATAGATAGATTTGACATAAGGTAATCAAGTTAAGAAAAACCAAGAACCAGGAACTGCATTTCCTTAGCTATAAGTCAGAGATAGCTTTGTGAAAATAAAAATTACTGCGTTTTTAAAACCCAGCAGTTATATTTTGTCTATATCAGGGCTCAGCAAATTTTCTCTATAAAGAGCAGGGTAGATAATAGATATTTTAGATTTTGTGTGCCATAAGGTCTCTGTCACAACAACTCAAATCTGCCCTTGTAGTTTGAAAGCAGCTATCATAGATAATAAGAAAGCAAATAGGCATGGCTATGTTCCAATAAAACTTTATTTACAAATATAGGTGGCAGCCAGACATGGCTCACAGGTTGTGTAGTTTGCCCCCCCCCCCCCCCCCCCCCGGCGGGGGGGACAGAAAAATGATAATCACTTAAACAAATGAGTATCTCAGAAACTTACTGCTTAATTTTGTCATTTCTAGGTCCAAATCTTGGTCCAGATGGTCCCCTTCTGAAAACAAAATACCGAGTGCATATAAATAATGAGAGCATTAAAAACCAAGGACAAAACAGAAAACACAGAAAATCAAACTAAATCCTAAACATGGTCATTCACCATAAGGAATCACAGTTTACTGGTACTGTTGGAACTGAATGATATGTAATCATGTCTGTCCTTCATTGGTACTTAATGCTGACCACAATTAACCTAATTCTTCTGAATATTATAACTTTTAGGGAAATTTGGGTTTATATAACCCTTACACACAGGATGCTCTATGATTAAACTTTGAAATACCATAACAACTACAATGCCAGTGAGTATGAATAGCTTTATGATCAATTATAGAAAACTAAAAGTACAATCACCTTGAATTTCAGCCATAATGAAATGCTGATTATCAGGGATGGATACAGAGAACAATCCATTCAAAACGATAAAAATGTTTAAGTATGTTTTTTGATTCCTCATCTTAAACTTAACAACATGGCTAAAGGGAAATTTTGCAGAACTCTATGAAAATATCAACATTTCTCAAATCATTCTCTATTATAGTAAAATGCTGTATCATTTTAATTAACCCCTTTTAAAATTCCAGAAATAAAAAAACCTTTTAGATATTTTAAGTAATGATTCTTCTTCTGATGATTGAGAATAAGATGTAAACTACAAAACTAAAAAGAAAATAGATTCTGTACTAATTAAACAATAATTCCCAAGTCCCCACTCCTCCCAGCCCTTGGCAGCCTCTGTTCTACTTTGTTCTCTATAAATTCGACCTCTCTAGGCACATAATATAAGTGGAATCATGTAAAATTTATCCTTTCATGACCAGCTTCTTTCCTTTAGCATAATATCTTCAAGGTTCATCCATGTTGTAGCGTGTGCCAAATGTCCTTCCTTCTTAAGACTAAAAGTCCACTATATGTGTATCACATTTTGTTTATCTCTCCATCCACTGATGGACACTATGGTTGTTTCCAACTTTTGGCTATTGTGAATATTGCTGCTATAAACATGGGTGTTGATTAATTCTTAAAAATTATTTCAACAACTTTATTTGGTGTGTCTCCCTTCCAACGCACAGACAAAACCACAGGGTACGGGAGTTGAATTGTGGACAAGTGTGCTAGTTTTGCTGTCCAGCCCTTTGGAAGACGCACAGCATGACCTGGGAGTGGACCTTCAGTAGTAAATCGTTGCCTGAAGAGTTCGTGTTTTCCACAAAGGTGTCTAAACTTCATTCAGGTAATCACTTATTTAACCAAAGCGTCTGGCCTTCTTTCCAATACTGAGTTCTTTTTTGACAGGTAGCTATTGCTGTAGACTAAGGCTCCTTATCATAGTCAGCACGACCAGCAGTTAGCTTTGTGACTCTATGGAAATCTTGTCACCTGTAGGAAATTATCTTCCCACTTCATCTGCCCTTCATGCAACAAATGATGCTATTTCCTGTAACTGGATTTTTTTTATATCCTGTAGGCTCTTTCTGTTCAATGCTTCATGGTTGTCAATTACTTTTTATAAAATGTTTTTATTTTGGGGGCAGGAAAAACCTCTACAAAAAACTTCACAACATTATAACAAAGAGGGAGACCGATGGTTCCTCTCGAGATTATCTCTACATTAATCTCCAGAGGAAACTACAACAGTATGTCCTCCTTCCCGACTCTGCAAATATAAACACAGGCCCGTATGAGAGCCTTTTCTAAACATAACTCCAAAGGATCGATCGGGTCATTTAGTTCTGACAAATTATTAAGGTAATTCAATGGGGAAAGAATAACCTTTTCATCAAATGGTGGTGGCACAATTAGACAGACATATGCCAAAAGAATAAAAAAATTATCCTTTACTTAATTAACCCAACCATATGTAACAATTAACTTAAAGTATATTATAGATCTAAATGTAAAAGCCAAAACTATAAAACTCCTAAGGAAAAAATAGAAGAAAATCTTAGTGAGATTGGCAAAGATTTCTTAAATAAGCAAAAGTAGTTTTAAAAAAATTAATAAACTTATTTCATCAGAATCAAAACTGATCTTCAAAAGATACTGCTGTGAAAATGAAAAGATTTCATTGCAAATTGGGAGAAAATATTTGTACAACATATCTGATAAGGAACTTTTTTCCTTGAAAAGCTCTTGTATAAAAAGCTCTTACTAGGAAGACAAATTTAAAATTGAGCAAAAGATTTTAACATGTACTTTTTAAAAAAAGATATGAGGATGCCCAGCCTGTATGGCTCAACTGATTGTCATCCTGTGCACCAAGTGGTCACCGGTTCGATTCCCAGTCTGGACACATGCCCCGGTTCGGGCTGGATCCCCAGTAGGGGGCATGCAGGAGGCAGTCAATAAATGTTTTTCTCTCTCTCTCTCTCCCTCTCTAAAAAATCAATAAAAACACATTTAAAAGATAAAGGTATGAGGATGAAAAATATGCACATAAAAGATGTTCAACCTAAGTTTTTATTAGGGAAATGCAAATTAAAATGAAATGAGATACCACTACACACCCACAAGAATGGCTAAAATGAAAGACTGACCATATGGAGTGCTGATGAGAATTTGGAGCAATTAGAACTCTCATGCAATGCTGATGGGAATATAAATGGGACACCACTTTGGAAAACAGCTGTACATATACAACAGCCATTCTATTCCTAAGTATTTACCCAAGAGAATGAAAGCAGATGTTCACACAAAACGATCTGTATAAAAATGTCGCCGAAGCCGGTTTGGCTCAGTGGATAGAGCGTCGGCCTGCGGACTGAAGGGTCCCGGGTTCGATTCCGGTCAAGGGCATGTGCCTGGGTTGCGGGCACATCCCCAGTGGGGGGTGCGGGAGGCAGCTGGTCGATGTTTCTCTCTCATCGATGTTTCTGACTTTCTATCTCTCTCCCTTCCTCTCTGTAAAAAATCAATAAAATATATTAAAAAAAAATGTTTATAGTTGCCTTATTTATAATAGCTGAAAAGTACAACTACTCCAAATAGCCATCTTAAGTGAATGAACTGCAGAATATTCATATAATGGAATACTTCTCAGAAATAAAAAGAAAAAAACCTGATATATGTGACAGCATGGATGTATCTCAAAATAATTATGCAGAGTGAATGAAGTCAGTAAAAAAGGAGGCATAAGGTATGGCTCCACTTATAATAAAAATAATTCTAGAAAATACAAACTATAGAAATAGAAAGCAATTGGTGATTGCCTAGAGATTGGGAGAATGAGAGATTACCAAGAGGTCCAAGGAAACTTTGAACATAATGGCGCTGTTTATTATTTGATTTTGGTCATGATTTCACATGTGTACAGTACATATGTCAAAACTCATAGTGTATACATTATATGTCAATTACATCCCAATAAAGCTGTTAAAAAACTTACAGAAAAAAGTCCTCTTCTTCATCTGAATCATCTTCCAAAAGATTTCTCTGTAAAAAAAGAGAGAGAGAGAGAGAAAATGACTTGAGTTTTCAGATTTCGGGGCTTACACACTGTCAGGAGTAATAAAATGAGTTCTGTCCTGGTGGAGTTTCTGAACTCCAAGCTTCCAGGGGGAAAAGTAATTGCATGGGCTTCAATGGAAGCGGAAAGATACAGAACCACGTTGGCAGACTTTTGAAAGAAAATGCTTCTAATGGTGGAATCCTATGATTGACCACGAGGCAGAAAGGGCACTGAGCTGGTGTGGAGTAAGAATGGACGGCAGTTGGGAGGAGCAAGTCCCTTCTCCTTCTCCTGCCTTCCTCTAGTCAGCTGTCATTCAACAGAGATGTTTGAGCATCTGTGTGCTGGGCACTGTTCTAAGGACCAAGCACCAGTTTTGAGTAACACAGACAAGGTTTGAGCTCTCATAGGAAAATATCTGATGGTGATAAATGCTATGCAGAGAATTAAAGCAGTGATGGGACAGACAGAGACAGGGGGATTGAATGAGATTAGGCTGTCCAGGAAAATCACTCTCCAGGGGTGAAATTTAAGCTGAGATCCAAACGGTAACTAAGAGCCAACCAAAGATCAGGGTGAAGAGCATTCATGCATGGCCAGCAGAGGGACCGGCTAGTGCAGAAAAAGCCCCAATGGATTAACGTGAATGGTTTGATTTCTTAAAAAAAAAATTATACATGATTAGAGTTCAACATTTTTCCAGCCAACATGTTTACAAGATCAGTAATGGAAGGAGAATTAAATTAAGTCACCAATTTAAGTAACGTATACTACTTTTTAATGTTTACTATGACGAGCAAAGGGATTAGAATATAGCCATAAACTTTAGTTTTCTAAAACAAAGTACTTATAAAAGGAATGAAGACATTTTTAGTCTTTCTTTTTTAAAAGCTTAAGATTCTGAACTTACCCTTTCACTTTTCACAGAACCAGTGACATCATCATCGTTTAGGTGGCGCTTGAACTTGGGAGGCATATTTTTTTTTTAACGCTAGAAGTACTCTTCTACTTCCCAGCAGAGTTAAGTACTCACCACCTTAAAGAAAAAATAGGTTTCACTGGATTTGAGACTTCTGGGTGTCAGGTAAAGAAAGTACTTACAGCAGAGGCCAGGGCCTTATTGTGAAGGGGCCTCCTTCACTTCTCTGGCTTCAACTACTCCCTTCTCACTTGCTCCTTTCCAGGGACCTCCCTGCTGGGCCTCAACACATAAGAAATAGTAAAAATCATGAAAAAATGGATGTAATTTTCTTAGGAGAACATGTGGAGGAAATGAGTGACAAAATGTTTATAAAATGAAAACGCAGACCGTACATGAAGGAAATGAATATAGGAGGTGCTTCCCTGAAAGTGAGACATCGACTGCTTTAGGATTTTTACTTGGAGCGAGCAGTCCGCGGACACTTCCGGTGCTCACTTTAGGTTAGTTGTTTGAACCAAGATAGAGCTCCCTCATGTGTGAAACAGTACTTTCTAGGCTTCTGCATGGAATTGGGAGGCGTCTGCTCAGACACTACATGCAAAAGCATTCTGTAAACTCTAACATCCTGTTCTGAAGCATAGCACTGGGTCTTCCAAGAAAAGGGATGTTTGGTAAGAAATTCTTCTTTTCCCACAGAAAGTCTCACTTCCTTTTACATGCTAATATGCATTGTTCCAGAAACATGCTTGAGTCTGCAACATACTCAAAATTTTCTCCAGAAAAAGCTGACATATGCAGGTATGAGTTTTCAGATTCTTGGACTAGAAGATGGATGAAAGATGAGACTAGCTAAGGAGTGCCCAAAGTTTTACTGTGAGCTGGGCACTCTGCTCAGGGATTTATGTGCATTTCCTGTTACTCTTAGGCACTAGAAAACGACAGGAAAGCTAAGGCTTAGTAAAGATAAGTAATGAATAGTGTTAGCCACTCTGCTCATTGAAATAGCAGAAGCAAAGGCCTCAATTAATCCGTGGCTGTGCATGATCAGTTGTGATATTTATTCAGTTAGTGGCCCAGCAGGTTACACAGTTGTGTCCTTGAAAGACCACTTCTTCCCTATAACCATCCAGCAGCCCTCTTTCCCCTTCCACAAGAAGAATCTGAAGATCTTCAAATTAACTATAGCTAGACATCAGTTAGTTGGTTAATGTTATAATGTAAAAAAAATAAGCCCACAGTCCAGTTTCATAAATGAAATAGAAGTAAGATCTGAAGCTGGCTTCCTGTCAAAACAAATTGGTAAGAAAGTTTTCTTTAATAAGAAATGCTCCAGAACCTGAAACTTAACCACGTGTTAAGAAAAAAAAAACACACACAAATTCTTGCCACCTGAGTAAACAACTCCAGAGTTCATTCAACAATATTTCTGTCCCTTACATCTGGCCTTGATTTCAGAGTAATTCATTCATGCAGAAATGTTACAGAATGCATGAAAAAAACAAACAAAACGCCCACAAATGACAAAGGAAGCAACTGAAGGACCGAGCTTCTCATTACACCTGTATTTTGTTTGCAAGTTAAACCCCACAAAGAGGCTATACCTCAACCTCTCACGGCACCTAACAGGCAGATTTACATAACATCTTTATGAAACACACGGTGAAGCTACAAGCTTAATGGTGAGCAAGACCCATCTTCAGGTGCCATAATCCAAGGATCAGCCTCAGGAAGGCAAGACACCAGCGTCTGACCAACAAAAAAAGCCATCAGCAAAGCAGCAGGCAGATGAACTAACTACGCATCATGAACCACAGGGCAACGGATGATATCACACCAAACAACTCACAGAAAAAAAACCGTGCTCAGAAATTAGACTTACACATACTCTACTAAGAAGATTTCTGAAGAACAAAACAAAAACTCACGTATGCATTCAGGTGCCTGTGTCTAGATATATATGTAAACAGGAGTCTTCGTCATGTAATTCAGCATGGAGGGCAGAATAGCCATGCACAATTCACCTAAAAAATGCCACCACCGTCTGCTTCCTCTGCCGTCCTCCCACGTTTACAATGTCACGTGTGTATTTTTGGAAGAGGCAGTGCGTTCTCTTTTCGGGGGCTTTACACATAACACGGTTCTAACCTGTTGTTTGATAAACGTTGGCAGAAACCAACAAGCAACCTTGGGTGTTTCCTTTCGCACCCGGCTCGCTGACGGGCGGAGGGCGCCCCCGTCCCCGCCTCCACTCCGGGTCTGACTCCCCTTCCCCGTCTCTCGCCCGCAGGCGAGGTCGCGGCTGCAGTTTCCGGGAAACCGGCGACGGGAACTGCACGCAGCCCGGAGTCGCCGCTATTCACGGAAGCTGTCAGCGCCGTGACCGCCCGCCCGCACCTGCCAGGCTCACTCCCCGAGCCCTTTAAATCCCCACCGAGCCCGGCCCTCCAGCCAGAGGCTCCTCCCCCCACATCTGTCTCCCCAGGTC